GGTTTGCTCCCAGAGCATGGACCCATTTCTGCTGGAAGCAAATCTTCACTCTTCTGATAAGACACTGTAAATACAACCAATCTTTTCCCTTTCTCAAAATCTCTTGGTAAAATTTTCCTTAGTTGTTACCGCAGAATGGCGCAACAGCAGACAAGAGCACACCCGACTTCAGCAATAGGTGAGGATGAGAAAGGCAGCACAAGAACAACCTTTTGGAAATGCATGTTTAAAAACAAGAAAGCAAACTCATCTGAAGAGTTGCCTGTACAGCTCTGAAAGAATTAGCTGGCAATCAGCTCCAAGATGGATTTCCTACATTGCTGCACTTCACGCTGCACATCAAAGCTTACTTGTCCCTTCAGCCTCTGACAAATCCTCAAAGATAAAGTTGCTAAGTCACCACACTCTGCAATGCAACACAATAAAACTTGTCATCTGACACTAGGCATGAGCAGGATTACCCCACAACGTTCAATCCAAAGATACACAAAATAAGCACAGGGAAGCAAAAAATTATACAGAATACTGCTCAGCATTGGTCTAAATTCAAATTACTTCAGCATGAACAGATTTACGTCACAGAGCACCCATGTTTAAGTCCAGGCACCTCACCTCTTACTAAGGATGGAAATATATATAAATTCTCCTCACATGCTTCTTTGCTACGGCCTAACCACAGCAAATTATGTAAAATTTCTGCATTTCAACTGCTACAGAAATTAAATGCTGCACCACATTGGCCTGTGAGGCAAAGGTGACGTCCACTTAAAAAAGATCCCCCCTAAAAAATACAAACACACACACATGTGCATTTCAACAGGCTAATACCTAACACTACTTCATTTCTGAGGGAAAAAGAGCCAAAGGAAGGAAAATGTTGAGCTCTGCCCAGCACTCTTGTTGGGCCAGCCTTTAATAGAGCAGAGGCAGCCAAAATAGAGCCATCAAGTTTTAATCAATTACTGCCAGTCAAATGGCAGTCCTTAGCCCCAAGGCATGGCACCCTGTGAGCACTGATCTCCCTTAACCACGACTGCTTCCAAAAAACATAACCCACATTTTCTAGCTCTCCTTTATGCATTTTTCCACTCTGCCACCAAGGCCACTGGAGCCACACTTAAATCTCTTCAGGAATTTTTCCCTGACAGGCTGTGAATGCTACTGAGTATACTGCCAGCTTTCCAAACATAAAGAACCAAACCAAAACTAACTTTTAACTTTATCACCATCCAGTCTAAAGTAGCTGAGGAAAAGGCATTTCCTGACATCATTGCAAACATCACCTGAAAGCAGGATTCCAGATACTTTAACTCTTGAGGCAGCACAGGTCAAGCACACTACACTGCTGGCTTCAAGCAGCTTGGACACTAACAGAATAACAGACATTTTTTGTTCTTTGGGAAAGTTACTTATCAGTGAAGCTGCATTCAGCCCTTCTGGAGCAGCACTCTCCACTATATTGGCAGTACACCAATGGTAGTGATGCACACACACCTTTTCAAGGCAAAAAGCAACCAGCCAACCCCCACAAACAACCTAAGCCTCAGCTGACTGAAGTTAAAGAAGTCAGAAGACATGAACTGCTCTTCCAGGAAGCACCTGATGCATTAACATCTTAACCTACAGCACAACCTATGTCAGCTAACAGAACATGTTGCAAAGACAGCCTAAAGTCACCCCTGAAGGCTGTGTGTGCTGCAGAGAGTGACACAGATTCACCAACTTGTACACAACCCCATTAAAAATACCATGGGTGAGACAGCTATCTGGTCTGGCAAGTTTCACTCCACAGCACTGATTCATTTCCAGTCAGTCCAACACCAACTTCCAAAATGATAAGAAAATGTTTATCCATACTACAGAGAGTTTTGATTTCAAAAACTGGTTACCTGTTCAGTGGGCAGGTTTAACCAACACCTTCATCACAGAAAATGGATCTATTCTGGCTTAACAAATACTTAAAGTTACCAGGACAAGATGTGTGGTCTGCATCTCCACTAGCCTGAAGGTGCATACTACATTGACATAGCTCAGATGGACTGCATCCATCCATCCATCCGCCCCTATGAAGCCCTTCATCCCTGGAGCCACAAGCCCAGCTTTGCTTCCTGGACAGTGCCAGGAGGGTGGACACCCAGCAGTACCAGCCTCCATTCCTCTCTACCATCGACTGATCATCACCTCAGTCTTCAGAAAGGATTTACAAACTACAGCAATATTTACATCCATCCTCTGTCCTGGGAAACCTGCTAAGAAGAAAATACATTTAGATTTCCATTACATGGATATTCTATTAAGAACAGTGCATTTCTCCTCACTAACTGATGCAGGAAATAGATGTGAGTATCAAGGCCACTCTGCATTACCGTTATTCAACCTGGGATTTACCAATGTGAGAGCCTCAAGTGTACACTGAAGCTGCCCCAGCACAAAAAGAATTGAGCAGAGGATGTCAGTGCAGCAGTAGTGAGCAGCCAAGCAGACTGAAGAGAGCAGACAGCTAAAACACAGCATAGCTTAGAGAATTTGAATAAGGCATCCCTCTTTCTACCTTACTTTTCTTGGCCATGAAGAATTACCAGGATGGGACAGTTGAGTATCTAGCATGATCTTGCTAATCACTTTAGCCAAGGATTTTTAACAATAATACCTCAGAAAATCATGTAGTGCCTTCTTCCTCAATTGCTGTCACAAACATGTAAGCAAACCAGCTCCTCATAAGAAAACTCTCCAGCTGTCTCAATTAAAAGAAGCCAATGCAAAATAACCATCACATGGAGTCCTGTGACATGGCATTGAGTGCCACTGTGAAAATTACTTTCCTTCTCCATAAAAAGAGGTCAATGTCCTATATACAGAAGAGGGGAAAACAGTGATTGTGAAGGAAGAGGAGACAAAAATAGCTGCCTTGAATTTTCTTGGTACATGGAAAATCCATTATAAAAGTTTGCCCAGCAACAATGAAGCCTGACAAGTTAATGACTTGTTGCTTGTGGAGTCATAGGAGTGATGTCACATCATTCAGAATGTTGTGTTCCTATGCTGCATAAACACGAGTCATAAAAATGACTGTAATTTGGTCAAACCAAAAATCAGAAGTTTTGGTTCTTTCAATAAACAAGATATCCAATTAGTACTTCTCATGGGGACTTTATGCTTCTCTTAAAAAAACCCAGACCAAAAGAAAAAATAGCCCACCATGAAAAAAACAAACAAAAAACCCCCCAAACAGACCCCTCAAAAAACAAAACAACAACAAAAAAAAAAAACCCAAAAAACCCCAGAAGTCCCACAAGTCTGAAAAGCTCCTTGCAAAAAGGTGGCTCTGCTTTTCTTAGTCCCGAGCTCCAGAGCCTGTTGAGCAGGAAGCCGGGTGCTTCAGGGCTGGCTGCAGTGACATTTGCAAAGACAAACAGGCCGATGGGCTGGGAGTGAACACAGGGCTCTCGGAGCCCAGCAGCACCAGTGTGTGCTTCCAGAGCAACACCCACGTGAGGGCCAGGAAGGCACGGAGCTGGGAAGTTTTCTCCTCCTGGTGATGCAGGGAAGTACCGAGTCTCCCTTCAGCCCTGGCAGGGTCACTGAAGCACAGGACGGTCATCCAAGGACATCGGGAGTCAGCAGCAAGACACCGAGGCACATCAGCTACCAAGGAAACCAGACTTACATGACTAAGGCCAGATATAAAACTTCCGCTTGTTGTTAGCAGAATGTACATTATCTGGCATTTCTCTGTCAGCAGCACCAAATAATCTAACAGCAATTTGATATTCATGTCCCTGACGGGCTGCTTTAGTTACAGAAACAACATTAAAAATGTAGCATCCTTCGAGATACACTGCACAAGTCAGGCCAGTTTCAGCCACAAGCATCAACTCTCTAGGACTGCTTTTTTTTCCTCCTGATAAGCTCTTTTGCAGCGTGGAGATATCTTATCAGGGATTGCTTCTGTCACCGGAAGGCAAACAGAGCACTGTGAAAATATCAGGTATGACTTAAGCACCGAAGGGCTGTAGCCAGCATCAAACCAGCAGCTGAAGTGGTAGCTGGCCATCTCTCTATATAGGACACTTTCCACCCTGTAGCAGTCTACACTCCAAGTCCGAGGCACAAAGAAATGAAAATGACTCGCTGCCAGCACGGACGGTGCCACATCAATGCCGGAGCCCCTCCAGAACGAATGGGGCTGCGAGGGCAGCGTTCAGCTCCCCTGCCCTTGGTCCCTCGGCAGGAACAGCTTCCTAACAGCAAATCCACCGCCTGCCTCCGAGTTCTTACAAGTAATCTGAGGGCAAATTCAGTCAATACCTTTCTTTGTTGAAACTCAAGTCTCGCGTACAAATTCAGGTTTGTCTTGACGAAGGTTCAGCTTCCCTCTTACGGAGAGGATAGTTTAGTATTTCAGATTCGTCTAAACACCTGAACTGAGGTCAGACGGCTTTTACTGCCCGAAAAAGCACCAAGTAACCACTGTAAAACATTAGCTTGTGGCAATCATTAGGCAGGAGGGTTTGCGTCCGGCAGCGCAGCCAGACACATTCCGTTCACGAGAAGCGTAGATCTCCAGTTATCCAACATCTAGAAACCATTCTCTTACATAGCTCGGGAAACTCATTTCTGTTGTAAACCACTTCACTATAAAGCAGAAAACGGGTCGCAAGTGTATTTCTTCAAACAACAGCTTGAAAGCCAGCACTACTATAAAAAGGAAACAGACAAGAAACGCCCCCCCACAAACGCGTCTTTACATCCTGTGCAACAAAACACCGAATTCCCACGAACTGAGGGATTCGCCCGTCGCAAACTTACCATAAACCCCCAGCTCGGCACCGCCACCGATCCGCTATGCCGGCAGAGAGGAGATACCGGGGACGAGACGCGGAGCACAAGTAAACAAACTCGGGAGCCGCCGTGGCCGAGCTCGCCACGCTCGGAGCCCGTGCTCCCCGCCCGGAGCGCGCCCGACCAGCAGAGGCTGCTGCCGGCCGCCGNCAGCCCCCGCCGCTCACGCGTCAAAGTCGCCCTCGGGCACCGGCAAAACTTTCTCAGCAGCGCGTCTCGCCACCGCCCTACGGGCCAGAGCGAGCGGCTTCGCACCTCCGGCAAAGCGCCGCAGCATCTTCCGGCGTGCCGCTCGCAAGGGGAAGCGACCAGGAGGTGCCCTAAATCCTGCCAGCGAGCCCCTGCGAACGGCTCACGGTGTGCCAGGCAGAGCCGAGCTGGAGCCCGGCGGGGATTAGTGCCGCGCATCGGACACTGCCATGAAAACTCAGCACACGCGCCCTTGGGGCTGCCGGGAGGAGACGGGAGGTTTGCATTATCCGGGCTCTGTGAGCCAGATAGATGAGCGTGAAACTCTAATTATACTTTTGGCTGCCAAAACCAGCCCCACACTCTTAGGTGAGCTTCACGTCTTCTAGAAGGCTACAGGCAAGGCAAGTCCTGTCAAACCAGTGCAAGTTACAAAACAGTCATAAGGTAAGTGCTTCGATCACCACTCATTAATATCAGTGAATAACAAGCTGAAAAGCAGTGGTTTCTAACCCTAATAAGCTCGGCCCTAAATCGCCATCCCTCCCCTCTGGCCCCTAGGAACACCAGCATAGATTGACACACATGTAATTTCTCTCGTGCATGCAGTGGTTGGGTCTGCGCACAAGACAAGAAATGTTACCTACTGCTTCTGCTCAGTCTATGCACTTCTCATCCCAAAACTAGATTATCTTCTCTTAGAGACCCCAGACCAGAAAGATGACATAAAATAACTCTCTCTTCTGGGACAGGAAAATAAAAATTGAGAAAGGTGAAGGAAACCTTGCGGATTAGTATTTTTCCTCAAATTCTGCTGTTCTGCCTATGCTTTGTGCTTCTGGCGATGGAGAGGGCAAAATTTTTCCCCCCTCCACTTTCATTCTGATACTTATTTCTACAGTATCTTTATTTCTTTTACTTAAATGTTCAAATGGGCTTTGAGCAAAGAACTGAGCCAGACAAGAGAAATATCCATGCTCAGACCATAAAAAAAAAATGGAAAGGAAATTCTGCAAATTCTTTGAGAATCTTCAGTCAATAAATCCTCCATACGAGCTGCTGTAAAACTGGCTGTGTTTCACACATGCCATGTGGGCAGAAAAAGTGTCAGATAATGGCAGCACCCCTTCTGAGGGGACCTAGTGGTGCTCCAGGGGTCAGACACTCCTGAACCCAAATGAAAAGTTCTGAAGAGAATATTAAACTCCACTTCCTCTCCAGACCCTGCATACACACCCGTCCCCAGAGCCTTTGACATGTACAATAGATGGAAAGCACAGGATGAATGGGAGTTTTCTATCTGCTCCACAGTTCTTTATGCCTAGGAAAGGCTTTCTGCCACGTCCCATTCCCTCAGGCAGGCTTTGTCTGGTTTATGTATGCATACATGGAAGTCTTGACATGAGTAGTCATCTGTGCTCTTACCAGCAGGCAAGTTACTGAATATAAATCCTCCTCTTGGATGTGAGCACCAGCTAATGTCTGTTCTGTGGCACTCATTGGGAAGAGGAGCTATAGAATGAGCCATGTCTCAACAGTCAGTGGGGCAAGTCTGTGCTTTGGAGGATGTTTTGCTTTCCTCAGTTTTTAACAGCCTTATTTCTCTTACACCCTTTCCCAAAACAGCAGTGTCTCCTAACACTTCTTTTGGCAGCCAGCAGTGTGTTTTCCAGTGTAAGGTGGGATGTGGTCCTTCATGCCTGTGCCAAGTTTGATCCAAAAAGCAAACTTGGAAGGACTTTCTACATGGTTTGTAATACTAATTCTACAAAAGGAGATTAAAGAAATCACATTAGAAGTCAAGCTTTGTATCTTTTCAGCCAGCTTTAGACACATAGGTCTGAAAAGTGTACAATGCAGAGATCAATCAGGCAGCACAGAGTTTTGGGAACACGCTTCATGTGCAAATGTGAAAACACTTGAGGGTTTAGAAAGTGTCATTTTGATTAATGAGGGCTACAACTTGCTATTTGTATATAGATGAGAATATAAAAGAATAGGAAACAATCAACAGTTAAAATATTAACGTGATTTTAAAACACACTTGAACATGGTACAAATACAGCCCATTCTTTTGAGCTCATCCCATGAAATACCTGGGGAAGGGAGGAAGAGGCACATGTTGTGTAACATAACAAACCTTTCAAGATAAACTCTGTGGCACAAAGTCAACAAAATGAAACATTTTGTACAGTTCCTGGAGCTGTGCATCACAAAGAGCAGAACCCAGGCTGTGTCATAAGCACTGTGCATTACTCACATTCCCCATTCTTCCACTGCTTTGAAATTACCTCACAAAATAAAAATCACAGAAAGGAAATCTTGAGAATAATACACTTTATGCTTGACTGAGAAACACCATGGTTAGATGGTGAGGGCCAGGTGAGAAACCTGCCTCTCCAGTCTCTTGGAATTGCTGGATAGAGAGTTGAGAGTAAAAGTTGTTCACTGTTGCCCATGAAACAGTAAGTGCAATTAAGAAAAAGTGAGGAAAAAAAAAAATGTTGATTTAGATCAAGATGGTAATCTGGTGTCCACAGCAGATCTTTGTGTCTCACATGAGACTCATCCTTTGAAGTTGTATCCTGGCATCTGATAGCACATAGGCCAAAAAAATATAACTGCTGAAATTTGTTCTTCCCCTACACACTCACCTTCAAGGTAAGTTCCACATTACTGCATGGTGAACCTTCCTATACCCTCAATTCCACTCAGAAGCAATTAGGAAACATTTCATACACAGGCTTACTAAAGTACTGAGTCCTGAGCTTGTGATCCATCTAAATAACTCATCAGATCACTAATATTTACCCACCTGGTTTCTGGGCACTCCTATACTTGGAATGGCTACATCTGCTCTGTTTTTTTTTGTAGCAGGCTGAGCTGCCCTGCTGACATTCCAGGCTGCCCTGCAGCTGCCCAGCTTTTTGGACAGAGCTGGAAAGCAGACAGAAGGAACTTGCAACAAAAGACCATTTAGGCATTGTTATATCTTGTGTATCTACATCCTTGGAATTCTTCCTCTTTCCAGACTGGAGTTTTGGGTGAGCTCCAGATAAAGGTAGAGGGGAGAGCTGAGTGAGGCCACAGAGAAAAGGTTATAAATTGATGGACAGTGTGGACAAAGCCCACCTAGAAATCCATAAGACAAAATAAATACACATCTCAGATTTATGGATTATAAAGAACTGTTTCATTGTACCATAATTTCCATTTATGGTGCTTAAATAATGTATATTATTTCTAACAGCCCTCTTAAGTACAGCAATACTACAGTCATCATTCCTACAGAGGAGCCAAAATTGAAAATTATGATGAAAATCTGTATTTTCATGCATTTTAGATATCCACATGTGAAGATGTGACCTTAACTATAGTAAAGTCCACAAAATTCCCACACAAGATGTTTAAATTTTAAGAGTATTCCAGTTCTAAAGCTCTGCTTCCATGAGCACTGGACATTTATATTAAAGTACCCCCAGAAGCACAGAAGCCTCTGCCTTGCTCCAGCCATTCAAAACACTGTCTGGACAGGGCTTCTCTACATGGGTGTTTCCATTCTGACCTGGCCATATCCTGGCAGCTATGAAATCAGACTTTACCATTGTTCCTTGGAGCCCAGCAAAACCATTGCCCAAGAAGCCAGGATACTGCATCTCTTAATGAACTGACAAATTGCTGCTGAAACTGAGATCTGCTTCCCTAGGCCATTGGCCAGAAGTTAGAATTTACCTTCTTAGAGATCATCCCCATACAAGCAAATGACAAAACCCCACAGAGATTAGGAAATCACCACTTGCATAAATGTTTCCTTAGTTCAAAGATTCTTAACTGAGGATAAAGATCCTGCACACCATATTTGACAAATAAGGATGGCATTCAGAAATACTTAACGATTCAAAAGTAGAGTATTTTAAAATGTCAGAAGTTCATCTATTCAAAAGCAGAGCTACCTGCACTCTCAGATGTATTTCCAAAGCTTACTATATACTTCAAGTCCTATAACACAGTCAAGTCCCTTTCCCAAACACACGAGATAATGGGAAAAAAATAAGACTATACATACATAATAATCCCAGGTAAGAAGAAAGCTGCTCAACTTCCCCTTCATTTTCCTTGTGTGTTATGCCCATCAGAGCTCATGGTCTCAAGCACTATCTGGAGGATCTGATTTCTCTATGGAGCTGGTATTCAAGTTTTTCTCTCTGGCAAAATTGCATTGGACAAAGACAACCATAAGTTTCCACCAACACAGAGAGTACAAGGTTTTTAGGGAAGTATTTTCCCTTAAACACTGTAATGACTTCTTGGCTTGGGCCAGCAGTAAACAGGGTAGGGACATCTCAGAGGATGCAACAGAGTCAGTTGATAAACAATGGAAATTGCTATTACAGTACTGAAAACAATCCAGAATTCATTCCACTCACTTATTTTGGGTTCTGCATAACCTAAGGAGCAAATTCCAGTGGTTAAATTCAAACACAGAAACTTCTGTCTGAGAATGGTCTTTGAAGTGGCAGTTCCTGTTTGGGAAACCCAGAGAGCCTGTGCCTCCTGCTGGCTCCTCCACCTGGCTGCTGCAGTCCAGGTCATACAGGCATTTGCTAAAAACTTGCTTTGAAGCTACATCAGATGCTTTAAGTCATTACAGTGCCACAAAGCCCATCAGAACCTGACTGGTGCCTAATTCACATCCCAAACTCTGTGGTCTCTGCTTATGGTTATCCATTATGCCTATCTCTACTCTGTGGGCTCTGAACTCTAATAATAACTGTAATCATATCTTGCACTAGCTTTAATTTCAAGTGATGTTATTACATCATGCAGCCTTCAGTACACTGCAGCAATCACATGCAACTCTAGGAATGTGTATGTCAAGAGAAAAATGAAACAGATTTTTCAGTTAGAAGAGATGGACATAGAGTCTGGGACAGTGGCTGATACAGCACCACCTAAACTCAAGGCTGTATAAAAGACTGCTGACACTGTACATAATGTGGTTGTTTTGCTAAAGGACAGGACAGTGACAATGACAGGTTTGAGCTGCAAGTGGATCTTCATTAGCTCACTTAAGTCTCTTCGCCACATCAATAGCATCTCACCTTGATTTAGATTAAATCATGACTGATCCAAGCTCCGTGGCTATATTTCGTCCCTGTGCATTTATTCTCTTACCTCAGCTACTGCACAAGTGAAGGAAACTCAGATATTACTGATACTTTTGACAGTATTGGTTCTTTCCATTGAGCCAGTGAGAGAACAGGTCTTAATTGCCTCCCACAGGAAAGTTTTGACTCTGTAGCTAGCAAGAAGTGACTGCAATGGTCTTTCTCTCATTTTTTCTTTTAATGTGAATACAACATCCCAAAATAATTAACTGTGGAAAGCCACAAGGTGCATACTTTGGATCACAGGCAATTTGGGTGTGCACCTTAGCTGTTCTTTCA